AGCAGATGAACAAATATCTGGGTTCAATAAACAAAAACCCAAAACCAGATTTGTTAGTACAAATACTTTGTAGCTTAAAGTTTTGAGTGACAAGAAACTGCAAATATATTTTGCATATATTTTTGTATATATATTTGGATCTTCTCCAATATAGTCAGTCAGAACTCATTAATATTTCCCAAGATTTATAGTTACCTACATTTCTAACTATAGTTTTTTAGGAGGGAAATATAGAATGAGAGTTTTTCTTTCCCTGGATTACACCAAAAAATTTACCCTTTAAAATGTAAGTCAAATATCACTCTCTAAATCCAGCTAAGAGGGTCTCATCAGCAGGGTCCCACTATCACTAACAGAATGTTCTTGTTTGGCGTATTGTAGGTTTTCAGTACACAAACACTCCAAAGATCAGCACTTCGATTTCTAATGATTCTGTCTGGGAATCCTTGCAGCAGACATTCTTCCTCAACTCCCTCTCCACCCCTAAAGTTTAGTACTGAGATTCTGACTGAAGGTTGAAAGTACATATTGTTCCCAGGACACACCTTGACCTAGTGAAGAAACTGTTCTCGGTTATTTTCAAACTTAAACTTTAATCCCCAAAGACACGTGGTCTAGTAGTTCAAGTCTTTAATGTTTGTGTATAGGGGATCAGGGAGGGGAGCAAATCTTTAAAAGATAAAAAGAAAACCTGAGCCACATTGGGTCCAAAGTAAGACTCTGGGCACCAAAACTGCTTGTTTTATAACCCTATATGAGAGATCTTCATAAAGCTAGTGGAGAATGCTTATTATGTATGAGAAAAAACTTTCAACACATTCTGCACCAAATAGTTAATTTTTGAATTTCTTGTTTTATGAATTTTGTGAAGTCCTGTTGTATTTTATTTATTGGGTCATATTGCCTTTTAAAGTACTCTGGACATAACTTGGACCCTAAATCAGAGACCAGATCTTCCAGGAGATGTAGTCTTACTTCAACATCCTGAGGTGAACTGGGACATGTTATAAGAAATATTGCATGATTTGCTAAAAGTTGTGTTCATGTTCACAACGAATTGTATCTAAAAGAGATGAAAATATGAAAAGGTCAGTATAAAACCAAAAGTAAAAAAGTATACCCCAAATAAAGCATTGATTTCAGAACCATAACAGAAACCTGAAACCCCTCAAATGACTCACTTGTTTAACTATTATTAAAAATTAATCACAGATGAAAGCTCTTGAAATACAGATTGATGAGGCTATTTTTCTTAAAAAAAGAAATTTTAAATGTGTATGACTGGAATTTTGCATCATTGTCACTTTTAGAATTATCAACTCCATTTTTCTGATTTTATGTAATACATATTAATTATATAAAACATTTCCAATGTGGAACTATATGAAAACAAGTCAGTTTTTAAAAAGATTTATTTATATTTTTATTTGAAAGGTAGAGTCACCCACAGAGAGGGGGAGAGAGAGACACACAGAGAGAGAGAGAGATTGATCTTCCATTTGCTGGTTCACTCCCTAAATGGCAGCAACAGCCAGGGTTAGGTCAGGCCAAAGCAAGGATCTAGGAACTCAATCTGGGTCTCCTGTGTAGGTGTAAGGGGACCAAATATATGGGCCATCTTCTGCTGCTTTCCCAGGCACATCAGCATGGAGCTGGATCAGAACAGCTGGGGCTCAAATTGGCACTCATATGAGATGCTGGCATCATAGGTGGTAGCTTAACCTTCTGTGCCACAATGCCAACCCCAACAAGTTACTTTTAACTCCTTCAAAAAACATAATCACCATTATCATTTTGAGTTACATAATTTTAGAAACATTTGACTCCTATCCTTTTTTCTGTGCTTATACCAACTCCTAGCTGGGCACTGTCGCATAGAGATACTTTGCAAATTTGCAACCAAACCATATGAAGTTGATTTGATTAATATTTTGCATGCTTGCTTGTGTAACTAAATTTCATTTCTTTGGCATGCACAGAAGTCAAAAGTCTACAAACCAACACAATTATTTTCTTTGCTAAAATAGAAAAAAGTTAGATTTGTACTTAGAGGCTTGAAAACAAAGCTTAGTTAGAAATGAAATTACAGGGGACCAGCATCGTGGTATAACTTGCACATTTTTTGAAATTCAATTTATTTTTTATTTTATGTGTGTGTGTGCGAGAGAGAGAGAGAGAGAGAGAGAGAGAGAGAGAAAGAGAATCTCCCATCTGTTAATTCACTCCCCAAATGCTTACAACAGCTAGGACTGGGCCAGGCTAAAGCCAGGAGCCTGGAACTCAATCTAGGTCTTTCACATGGGTGCGGGAATCTAGCAACTTGGGCCATCACCTGATATCTTGCAGGGTGAACGTTAATGGGAAACTGGAATCAGGAACCAGAGCTGAAACTCAAATCAGGTACTCTGAAATGGGATGTGCCATCTCAAATGGGTTCTATCTGCAGTGCCAATCACATGTCCATGGAACTGTATTCTTAATCATGAATTTCTGTGTAGGTCATGATGACTGCGTATGTCATCCATTGCCAATTTATTGCTTGTATAACTAAATTTCATTTCTTTGGCATGCTCAGAAGTCAAAAGTCTACAAACCAATACAATTGTTTTCTTTGTTAAAATAGAAAAAAATTAAATTTGTACTTGGAGGATTTAAAATAAAACTTAGTTAATGAAATTACAGGGGGCTGGCATTGTGGCATAGCTATAAAGCTGCAGCTTGTGACACCAGCATCCCGTATGCAGTGCCGGCATCCCATGTAGGTGCTGGTTCGAGTCCTGGTAGTTTCACTTGCTGGGAAAGCAGTAGAAGATGGCCCAAGTCCTTGGGCCCCTGCACCCATGTGGGAGACCCGGAAGAGGCTCCTGGCTGCTGGCTTCAGATCGGTGTAGCTCCAGCCGTTGCGGCCAATTAGGGAGTGAACCAGTGGATGGAAGAGACTCTCTCTCTCTCTCTCTGCCTCTCCTTCTCTCTCTCTCTGTAACTCTGACTTTCAAATAAATAAAAAAAATCTTAATAAATAAATAAATAAATAAGTAGAAAGTAGATTGAGAAAAATCAAGAGTTTGAAAAGGAAAAAAAAATAGGCATAGGTACAGGCCCACCACTTCCTTAAGAAGTCTTCTGTTTACTGGGAAATAATTTGTTCCTAAAATGGCCATGAAAACAAAGTATCATGCTAACATTATATCCCGAAAGGAGAAAACCAGAGGCTACATTGAGCCTGCAAGGAATGGGCTGATTTTGGCACCAACTAGGGGCAGACATCAGGCAGGTCAGGGATAAGGAAATGGTCAAGGTGGGACCAGCAGCCTTCTGGGTGTTCAGACACCTCAACCAACCTCTTAACATTTGCTGCTCTGAGCTTCATGCTGGGTTTGCCATACTCTCCTACACTCTTTCTGGTGAGCTTATTTAGTCACATGATTTCAATGATGTCACCAATATACATACCAGGCTTCATCAAAAGTTTGTGGAAAATGGGACTAAAAGGTAGCTTCATTTTTTTGAGGAAAGTTTGAAATCCATGCATAGTTTTTCTGTATGTATTTTCTATGATCTTTATGAAGACCTCTCATATTTTCAAAAACATTGTTTGCAGCTACCAGCATGATATTTCAACTTGGATGTCTAATAAGAATTATATTTAACATCACATGCTTTTCTCACCCATCTACCCCAGGTTTCCCAGATTTTAAACTTGAACCATCATCAACCCAGGCACTCAAGTTCAAATTCCAGAACCCGTGTAATTTTCCCCATGTCACATTACTCAGATCCTTTCCATGAGCTAATTTTGTAGATTTATCCAAAAATCATCTGGAATTTATGTCTCTCCAGTACCTCAGGCATGGCAGTCAAGCCTACTAGTCTCCCACCTGGGTGGGATACAATGTTTCTTTTTAAAAAAATTTATTTATTTATTTGAGAGAGTTATAGATAGTGAGAGGGAGAGACAGAGAGAAAGGTCTTCCATCTGATGGTCCGCTCCCCAAATGGCTGCAACAGCCAGAGCTGCACCCATCCAAAGCCAGGAGCCAGGAGCTTCCTCCGGGTCTCCCACGTGGGTGCAGGGACCCAAGGACTTGTGCCACCTTCTGCTGCTTTCCCATGCCATAGCAGAGAGCTGGATTGGAAGCGGAGCTCCCGGGACTAGAATCAGTGCGCATATGGGATGCCAGCACTGCAGGCGGAGGATTACCTACTGAGCCACGGCGCCGGCTGGGGATATAGTGTTTCTAACTGGTCTCCAGTTTCAATTTATCTGCCACCACCTATATTGTTCAAGCAACCAGTCACTGACTTAACATTCAGGGGGATTTATTATAATGCTTTAGATTCAATATTATAAAATGGAACACTTGTCAATAGCTTTATATTTTTCAGTGTTTTTTTAAAAAGATGTTATTTATTTGAGAGGCAGTTACAGGCAGAGGAAGTGACAAAGATCTTCCATCGGCTGGTTCACTCCCCAAATGGCCACAGCAGTGCCTGGCTGGCGGCTGGCGGGAGCTGTGCAGATCAGAAGCCAGGAGCCCGGAGCTTCCTCTGTGTCTGCCACGTGGGTGCAGGGGCCCAAGGACTTGGGTCATCTTCTACTGCTTTTCCAGGCCATAGCAGGGAGCTGGATCGGCAGACCAGCACTGGGGACTTGAACTGGCGACCATTTGGGATACTGGCGCCGCAGGCAGAAGCTTAGCCTTCTACACCACAACGGCGGTCCCCTCAGACTCTCTGTAATTTTTTTTTTTACTATGTTACTCTCTTGGATAAATGGTACAATTAAGGGGAAAAAACCCAAGGGCAGATTTTGTAAAGGCAATATATAAGAAAACACCCAACGGCTGAGGGGAAACCAGACAAAGCCAGTCTCCCTGTGGGTGGGGGAGGGGATGGCGGGAAAGGAAGAGATTCTTGGACCCCCGATTTAAATCTGACTAGGGGTTGGTGCTGTTGCTCTGCATACAAGAATCAACGGACACCTGTATTTCTTCAAGAAACGCAAAACTTTATTGTCAACAATGCTCAAACTGAAGGGAAGAAACTGAGGGGAACTGCGGGAAGCTCCATCCGCCGATCCGGCCTGGGGGCGTCACCCCGTGGCAGTGGGGACAGTCTGCTCAGTTCTCTTTGTCGCCCTGGCCCAGGGTGAGCTTGTCGAAGAGGTACTCCGCCATGTTGACGTCTGGGGCCCCCAAGCCGCGCAGGTTGGTCAGGTGGCACGCCAGCTCCTCAATGGCCTGGACCTGCTGGTCCAGGTAGTTGGTCTCCAGCAAGTGGCAGAGGTGGGCGTCGCCCCTGGCGGTGGCCAGCTGGTGCAGCTCCAGCAGGCTCTGGTTGATGCTCTTGGCCAGGTAGAAGGCGCTCTCCATGGCCTGGAGGCCGCCCTCCCAGTCGTCGCGGTCAGGCTCCTGGACATCACGGATGGCGATGCGGCCTCCGCGCTGGTTCTGCAGCTTCAGCAACTTCTCCGCGCGCTCCCTCTCGATCTGTGAGCGCTGCAGGAAGTAGCGGGTGAAGCCCTTCAGCGCCACGTCGTCGCGGTTGAAGTAGAAGGCCATGGACAGGGCCACGTAGGAGGCGTAGAGCTGCAGGTGGATGTGGTTGTTGAGAGCGGCCTCACAGATGGAGTCGTAGTTGTGACGCACTTGTGAGGGCTCAGGGGCAGCCATAGCGAGCCGGGCACAGCGAGCCGGAAGCTGAAGGCGCTGAGGGCTGGTAGGCTGAGGAGCAGGCAGCAGCGGCTTTGCTGCCCTTGGGGGGAGTCCCTGGGGTGACCGGGAGTTCGGCGTAGTTGTCGGCCGTCCGGTTTGCAAGGGAGCCGGAAGTGGGCTGTGGCGAAGTGGCTGTGGGGGCTGTTCTGAGAAGGCGGGATTAGGCGGGACGTCAGAAGGTAGTTGGATGGGCCGGAAGTGGCGTCCCCCCACCCCCACCCCCGCTGCCTTCCGTGCGGGTAACACTGAATTGGTTGGTCGCATGAGATTTTAATTTGGTAAAACGTTTCCAATATCCAAGGATTTTCTCAGCTCTTCTATTCGGTCCTCCAGGACCAGCCTGTTGACACTTTATAAAGCTATTATTTTTCTTAAAAATCTGAGAAAATGAATTTTGTGGGAAAATTCTCTTCTGTTTCCTTTATCATATCTGTTTGCCCTGCAGAATTAGTTCTACTTGTTTATCATGATCTCCTCCTCACTTTCCTCAAATGAGGGTCAACCTCTTTTCCATTCTTACTTGGAGTAAAAGCCTCCTTGGATTAGACTACTGTTTAGTATGGTATGCAGAGGTGATGTCTCTTTCAGCTACAGGCTTCTCCCGTGAATAGAGGGCATGTGTGCTCATTAGGGCGTGGTCTGCTTTTGAGATACATGGTTTGGAACCTGTATATGGGTTAGGAACTATCCAAGATGACGAAAATCATGGCATTCTCCGATGCTGGAAGTCTTCAGTGGATCTCCCGTCTAGCTAGAAGTGTGCTTCAGTTTTGGTGTCCTGGGATTTCTGCGGTGCTTTGACGCTTGATTCTCTGTGTAAAGAAGATTCCTCCACTTGTTTCGGAATGTGATTCGCAACATCCAGAGGGTCACAATGCCAATTTGAACAGTCCTCAGTGTTCATGTTTCAGGGTTCTGAAAATATAAATCATGTGTTTTCCCTTCTGAATTTAAAACTAATAGGCCAAGCAGTCAGCTAATAAAAAATAGGCTTAGGTCTGTAGCTAAATGGACTTACTAATATTTTTCAAATCTCCCAATTATAAGAACATATTGTGACAGAGTAAGCACCATCAAGCCACATTTTCTTTTCCTCTAGATCACACAATTTGAGTATATTTTTGCAAGTAACTTGCAATTTGGTGTGGTCATTTACTTTGTATGGCTAATGGAATATTGGAAGAAGTGACATACTCAATAATTACACCTACTTTATAACAAATTCCCCATGCAGTCTTTTGCATTAATGCCAAAGAGGAAAAACAGTGGAATATTTCACAGTCACTGTGTACACCTATCCTGGGACTTTGAATGATTTATTGAGTATATTTTCCCATCACCACCACCTCCAACCTTCACTGGAGCTTGATAAGGACCAAAAAAAAAAAAACCTCATTAACAATGTAAAGATATTTGGAATATTTGTTACAACAGATAGCCACCCCTGAGTAATTACCCAAAGAAAATGCTAGATAATCATAAGGTTATGGCATTTTCTCTTGGTGGAAATGCAGAGCTAAAAAAAAAAAGAAAAGTGTAGCTAAAACTGAATCATTATACTCTCTTTCTTTTGCTAAATTCACTATTTATATATAAAATCTCTGCTCCCTTTTACCCTTTATTAGAGGGTGGAATGAAAAATATCTCATGAACATGAAGTGTAAGGGCCAAACTCTTCATTCTTCCTCAGTGCTGGGGAATAAAATCAGGTTGATTCTTAGTGGCCTAACTTTAAACCAACAAAATAAACCATAACGGGCAGGGCCATGATTGACCCCTGAGCCAGTCAGCTGTGGTGAGGAAGGTGAGTCATGTAAGGACATAGAAGCACCCCCTAAAACTGTATTATTGGAGTATATGTTTGTGTGGAGCTATTTCCTGGAAGTGAAGGAGTGATATTTGCAGAACTGGTGGGATGGTAAACAGATGGTACACTAGATAATACCATTTTAGTTTTCTCTGCTGAACCAGGAGCTCCTCAATGTTAGTGTGAGTTACACGATTTCTTTGTATCTCCTGTACTTCATATCCATGCTAGATACTTAGTACATTCATCACCTTTGGAAAAGAATTTAGAGAGAAGGAGCAACAGGAGTGAGCTCAGAAAGCAAAATCACAAGCTGAGACACTTATGGGGAATGGTAAATGACTTTAACTCTCAAGGGCAGTCATGAGATGCATTTTGTCAATGTTTCCTGGCAGTGTTTTCCATGATGTCAGGATGCAGAGCCTGGTCACACTGAGCATCAGCCAATAAAGTTGAATAGGGGAGCCTGTGTCAGTGTTGTTACCAGATAAGAAATGTTTGATTTAATATATCTTTACCATACCAGATGGCTTCCTACATTCTTGCTAATCTTCACAAATTTTGTAAAGTTGAAATTGTCTTTTCATCATCATACAGAGAAGAAACTGGGGTCTTTAATATAAATTACTTGCACAAGTTGATAAGGAAACTAGATTCAAAATCAGATCTGGTGTTCAGCTACAATCTTGGGACCACAGTCACCTCTTCAGTAAAACTGTATATACACAGTAATTTTTAAAAAGATTTCTTTTATTTATTTGAAAGGTAGAGTTACAGAGAGAGGAGAAGAGAGAGAGAGAGAGAGAGAGAGAGAGAGAGAGAGAGAGAGAATATTTTCCACTTGCTGGTTCACCCCCCAAATGGCTGCATCAGCAGGGCTGGGCCATACCAAAGTCAGTATCCCTGAGCTTTTCCAGGTCTCCCACGTGGGTGCAGGGGCCCAAGCACTTGGACTATCTTCTGCTGCTTTCCCAGGCACATTAGCAGGGAGCTGGACTGGAAGTGGAGCAACTGAGTCTCGAACCAGCATCCATATGCGATGTTGGCATTAAAGGCGGAGGCTTCATCTGCTATGCCACAATGCTGGCCCCTATTGGTAGTGATTTGAGAATGAAGAATTATAGACAGCAGCACCATTTAGCTGCTATGATTCTATAGCACCATAGTCAATCCCACCCTGGCCTCGTGGGACAGCCCTATCATTTTGTGAGGCCAAATTTCTTTATCTCAGCCTATTTCACACAACAGATATTCCTGGTTAAATTTCTACAGGGAAATAAGTTTAAGTATATTGTAAAAATAAATAGACAGTTATACAATGAGATTGAATAAATCTCTTCTTCTGTGGGCTGCTGTAGTGGAGATGAGTGAGTTAGGTTCTTTATAACTTCTCTGAATGTTTTATCTAACCTCTCTTTCTGTTGGATACTGTTTCATTTACACACTAGGGCCCTACAATACAGGTACCATTTCCCCATACAGTGGTCGTTTTCCAAACTTCATCACTGGGGATAATCAATATTTCTTCATTGAGTTAGAGCTAATACTTGGATGACTTTTCATAATAGGATTAAAATAAGTTTAATAAGAAACTATTTAGAATCCATCCCAAACTAGTGTTCCTAGATCGATTCTCTAAATAACTTGTTATGTGTATTTGATTAATTTGAACTAGACTGTGATTTTGTGAGTTCTCATTAAGGTTACCTTCCTTCTGCTTCTTTTTTTTTTTTTTTTTTTTTTTTGACAGGCAAAGTGGACAGTGAGAGAGAGAGACAGAGAGAAAGGTCTTCCTTTTTGCCATTGGTTCACCCTCCAATGGCCGCCACGGCTGGCAAGCTGCGGCCGGCGCACCGCGCTGATCCAAAGGCAGGAGCCAGGGGCTTCTCCTGGTCTCCCATGCGGGTGCAGGGCCCAAGCACTTGGACCATCCTCCACTGCACTCCCTGGCCACAGCAGAGAGCTGGTCCGGAAGAGGGGCAACCGGGACAGAATCCGGTGCCCCAACTGGACTAGAACCCGGTGTGCCGGCGCCACTAGGTGGAGGATTAGCCTAGTGAGCCGAGGCGCCAGCCCTTTTTTTTCCTTTTTTTTTTTTTTTGACAGGCAGAGTGGACAGTGAGAAAGAGAGACAGAGAGAAAGGTCTTCCTTTGCTGTTGGTTCACCCTCCAATGGCCACTGCGGTTGGCGCGCTGCGGCCGGCGCACCACGCTGATCCGAAGCCAGGAGCCAGGTGCTTCTTCCTGGTCTCCCATGTGGGTGCAGGGGCACAAGCACTTGGGCCATCCTCCACTGCCCTCCCGGGCCACAGCAGAGAGCTGGACTGGAAGAAGAGCAACCTGGACTAGAACCTGGTGCCCATATGTGATGCTGGCACTGCATGTGGAGGATTAACCAAGTGAGCCACGGTGCCTGCCCCCCGACAGTTATTTATGATTGAACAAAATGTAGTGCAAGAAACTAATACCTAGCTTGCACTTTTTATCCTGGATGGATTTCAGATTGATTCCTGTCACTTGTCATGACTCCGTTGTGGAGAGTGCTGGTCAAGCAGTGGCCCCAGTGCCACTTTACTGCTTGTCACATCATGGGTTTCAATTGTGAAGAGTGTGGAAGAACAACTGCAGGAGGAGGTGGGTAGCAGAAGCCTTGGTGGTGTGTGTTGCCATCCATAAAGGTGCAATAGCTTACATCCTCTATGTCAGGGATTGTTCACAAAAATGTTTGAGGCAACAAAGGTATTCTCCAAAGACATAAGTGTGCATTACAATGTTTTTCAAGTCAGAGTTACAGAGAGAGAGAGAGAGAGACAGAAATCTTCTATTTGTTGGTTTGCTCACCAAATGGCCACAAAGGCCAGGGTTGTACCAGGCTGAAGCTAGGAGCCAGTAGCTTCCTCCATGTCTCACACTTGAGAGCAGGGGCCCAAGCACCTGGGCCCTTCTCTGCTGCCCTCCCAGGTGCAATAGCAGGGAGCTGGATTGGAAGTGGAGTAGCCAGGAGGTGAACTGGCACCCACATGGGATGCTTTACCCACTACATCACAACACCATCCCCTGCAATACAAATCTTAGTGAGAAAAGCATTGCAACACTTGGTTCCCAAATTGTGCAGGGAATGTTTCCCAATCTTTGCACTGTAGTCCTTGGTAGAGAATGGATATGGGCAGCAGGGCAGTTTCAGTTATTCTAAGTAGCCTGTAAATCCAGTTTCACTGAGCTTTGTGTGAAGGCTGAATAGTGGCTCACAATTAACTGCTTGTTTTTTTAAAAATTATTTACTTGAGATTGAGAGTGGGGGAGAGAAAGAGAGAGAGAGAAAGCCCCCATCTACTGGCTTACTCCCCAAATTCTTGCAAGGCTAGGGTGGGCCAAAGCCAAAGCCAGGCACCAGGAACTCAGTCTAGGTTTCCCATATGGGTGGCATGAGCCCAAGTACTTTGAACACTCACTACTGTGTCCTAGGATCTGTATTAGCAAGAAGCTGAAGTCCAGAGCTTGAGTCAGATATCAAACCCAGGCACTATGAGATGCAGGCATCCTAACCACGAGGGCAAATGCCTGGCCCTGAACTGTTTTTCTTATAAGTTTGTAGATGCTGTTTTGATTGAAAAATGCAAACTTATTAAAAAATTTGTTGCTAGCAGTTTCCCATCCATCTGGCGTCAGCAGAAGTTCGCTCTTGTACTCTCTGCCTGAGGATATTTTTATTCTCAGGAGTTAGTGCAATCCATACCTGGCAGGTCAGAAGTGCTGGCCAGGAGCAACCTTCAAAAAGTAGGGAACGGTGTCATTTAAACAGTCCAGCTTCTTTGCCATTGAAGACACATTTCTGAGGTGTGTGCTTCATACACACAAGCCTCCATTGGCATTGGGCCCTAGCTGCTGGCAGAAGCAACCACGTTGAATATTGTGAGATTTCAAGTTTGTTGCTGTGTTCTGATGAGAATGATTTATAGCACGAAGAACCTTCAAAAAGCTTATAGAGATTTAAAAAAAAAAAACTGTGCATGGGTTTTAGTTTTTGCACTAAACTTATCTTTCAATTCCACTTTCCATGAACTTTTTGACATACCATGTATTGAAACTATGTTTGTATGAAATGATCTGCTGTGTTCTTCCTTAAACTCAGCTCCTTTGTGCCAGTAGACAACATCATTCCCAGGACTTGACAAACTATACTACTACAGGGAGCTTAATCTATTCCTTTGAAGAAAATGTTTTCATTTTGTTTCATTCAAGGGTCATTCAAAACAGAGTCCTTTTTTACATTAAGAACACCCTGAGGTTTTCACCAGATGACTTCTGACTTTTTGTTGAGTGAATTGATAGTTCCTAAATTTGTAAAAAATAAATAATAGAGAAATTATGTAATCATTTTACCTTATTGGAACTAACATAAATTTTAAAAAACTTATAGGGTATTTGGTACAGCAGTTTCGCTGCCGTTTGTGGTGTTTAGATAACATATCATATTGCTTGGTTTGGAGTCTCAGCTTTGCTCTCAATTCCAGCTTCCTGCTAATCCACATCTGGGAAGCAGTGGCGATAGCTCAAGTAGTTGGGTCCCTGCCACCCACATGGAAGACCTGGATTGAACACTTGTCTCCCAGCTTCAGCCTGGCCCAGTCATAGATTTTGCTGGCATTTGTGGGGTGAACCAACAGATTGGAGCTCTTTGTCTCTCTGTCTCTGCCTTTCAACGAAAGAACATAAAACAAAGAGCTTAGGTAGCATATTTATCACCTAACCAAAATATAACTAAACACATAACACACCTCTTGGATTTAAAAATAGCTTTATTTAGCATACCAAAAACACAGGAACACAAGAAAAACCATACCTAGTATAAACATAAAAGTTAAATACTATAATTTAATGTAAACCAAGCATTTAAATTGTGAAATATTATAATAAAATACATGCTATTTTTATAGAACCAAGTTAAAGCTACCTCCATAGTTAACTGGATCTGATCATCAAACTTGAAAAGGTCATTATTAGCAATGAAAAAAAACACAACATCTCTATTTGTATTGGTCAATAGGGAAAGGATAAATCATTTTATTTACTTTAAACGCATACAATTTATTGAGACATTTAGAGCATGGAAGCAAAATTGTCAGTTCTAGGATTCAAGATACAACCACTGTATGTGGAAGCTTAGAAATCATTCTACTGGAAGACTGGAGCCTATTCTTTTATTTACATGCAAACCCATTGATTCGATTTAGTTACTGCTTAATAAAGATACTAAATATATTCTGCAAAAATAAACCTTTATTAAAAATTACCAAAGGTGAATATAATATCAGTCAGGTAGGAAAGATAAAAGCATAAAAATACATATTATTCCAGACAAACCCCTTAATTATAATAAATGTTAGGAAACTCAGTTTATAAAACCAGATGGGGTAGCAAAAAGTATTTTAAAAATATAAAACCCAAACCACATTCAAACAAAATGAGCAATCCTCAGATGATGTTTCTTGAATAAAGTGGTATTTTGCTTATTCTGTTATCACATGAAAGCCATGATGAGATCTGTAGCTGATGGAGCTTTTACTATGGAGTAACACTGGTGTGTGTGTGTGTGTGTGTGTGTGTGTGTGTGTTTTTGACAAACTGTCTAAAAAGCTGTGGTCACTGATTGGTTTAAACATTTTGCCTTTTTCATCAGGGATCAACATTTATCCTTAGAGTTTAATTCAGGTATCTCTGAGAGACAGCATTCAATCCAATATCAGGAATTTAAAATGTAAAAATAAATTTTCAAGAATATATATTTAGTAATTGAATATCCTTTTCTGTTGTCTAATCCTGTAGTTCTCAAACTTTTGGTCTCCAGACCCCATTATAGTCTTAAAATGGGGATCTGGAAGTCAAAGAGTTTTTGTTTATGAGATTTATGTCTCAATATTTATCATATTAGAAAATAAAATGAAAAAATACTGTATTAATTCATTTAAAAACAACAAATCCATTACATGCTAACATAAATAAATAATATTTTTATGAAAATATCTATATTTTCTAAAACAGAAAAAAGATGTGCGGGAATGTGGCATGGTTTTACATTTTCAACTCTTTTTGAGAGATCCAGAATGAAAAGACAAATGATGTCTTCATATTACTATGAAAATATTTTGATCTTACAAATCCTCTGAAACGTTCTCAAGGTACCCCAGGGACTGACATTAATGACTAAAAGAAAAGTCAGTGCAAAAGGAACCTTAAAAAAAGGGAGCCCTAACTTTTATTTAAAAATAAACCCCAAAAAACCTCACAAATACGTCATTGTATCAAACACTCCTACCTTCAGCTTTAACTAGAAATCAAAGATTGCCATGTACTCATGGCAACACTCAAAACAATATTGTCATTTCTGAGATCAGTGTCAAGATATAATCAGTTTTAGTTCAAGGAAGCTACAACCTATTAATTAAAAATACTTCGGTTCCCTTTCCAACATTTGCTTAAACCTGGTTTGTACTGAGTTAGCCATTATCTTTAAGTTGGCACAGCTTTGGTATAGAATAGAGTACGGCAGGGTTTAACTAAAATTCCACACACTTAGACTAGGACTATGCTAGTCATTTATAGAACACCCTGCTCTATTTCTCACTATGTGAACGCTCTGATAACCTTTAGAGAAAGAGAGGAAGAACCTTCTCTTTGAAGCACAGTACTGATGCTAGGATCTTCTATCTAGATAAGTCTTCACATTTTAGAAACTACTTCGACACACACCATCTCATTTGATCCTTTTAAAGCCCCCAGAGAAGAGCAGGACAAATGATACTATCCCTGTTTTCAGGTTGAGGAGTCTGAGGGTCAAATAGGGGTCTCGTCCAAGGTACCATGGCAAGTATGTGGCAGAAGGGGGTTAAAAGTTAGGCTATCTGACTCCTAGTTCAGGATTCCTTGCAGTTTTCCCTCCTTCCTTTGATTCTGGGGCAGAATTGAGGGAGGAGTCAGTGGGGATGGAGTGGTTTTGTTTTATTTTTAAATATTAGTCGAAATGAAGAATAACAGAGAGAGAAAGAGAGAGAGAGAGAGAGAGAGAGAGAGAGTAAGTGATCTTCTATCTGCTGGGTCACTCCCCAAATGCCTGAAACAGCCAGGGCTGAACCAGGCCAAATGTGAGTGGCAGTGACCCAAGTACTTGAGCCATCATCTGCTACCTCCCAGGTGCATTAGAATGAAGCTAGATTGGAAGCACGTAGCAGGGACTGGAACCAGCACTCCCATATGGGATACAGGTGTACCAAGCAGTGGCTTAACCTGCTGCACCAACAATGTCCACCTCTGTATCCGCCATTCTGTCCAACACAGACAAGACTTGGTAGTAGAAAGATATTTCCGTGAACCAATCTAATGAATTTACCATCACTGCATAGATAATGGAACTTTATAAAGCAACTACTCAGACAGTTTAGGTTGGCAGTTTATCCACAGCCTATTCCTCTTCTCCAAGGGAGAAGTAAAAAGCCTGCAGTAGAAAAAAAAAAAAAACCTAATGAAACTACAAAACAAAGTAGCAAGAATAATGAAATCTATGCAGGGCTATAATTAGATTCAGTATGCACTTGTTACAACACATACCTTGCAATCTTCCACCAATTGGAGAAAAATATAAAAATCACAGTTCATAATTTAGTGGAAAACTGCCTCCTAATAAGCCTGAGGCAAAGACTTCAGCCTGTACAAAAACATCATGAAAATCATTTCAAAAAACTTAACTCTTAGGTGCTTGAAGATTCTGCAGTGGTAGGAGAGAGTACACAGAATAAAAGAGTGCACAGCAAGAAGAAAATAATTATTGCCACTCATCAGCAAAGGGGTAATTAACTGGTATCTAGTGTCTGTCGTTAGCATATGTCCACTTTACAAATTTTGTTGCCAGGAAATCCTCCACACAAAGTTATTAATACCATGAAACTTTCAAAGATGCTAAGTAAATTGTTTAATTTGGAGGATGGTGGTCAACAACAAAACAATCCTTAGTATAAAATGAGTCAAATACTACTAACAACCAAGTATTTTCTTGCTATACATTGCAAACAAATTATTGCTTATCTTGTACACACTCTCTCTCACTTTCTGAGATGTTTCTAAAATTAAGAATGACTCCATGAATTTTCCATTTTAAGATAGATGAAGGAAAAAAATGCTAACAGAAGCCAGTAAGAATCATAAAACATACTAGTTAAATCCTTTTTGCAAGAGTCTACAGCAAATTGATGGCTATCTTACACCACCTGGGTGTCCCTTTTGTCCAATTTTCATGAGTATTCTCTTTACTGGTGATTTAAGATGTTAATGGATTTTCAAGACAATTGCACACATACTGTGTTGATACACACACGTATATATACACATACATACTCATGTATATATATGTATGTATGTATGTATGTATCTCATCATAGCACATGAAGACCCCCCATTGGTATGTTTTTCTCTCTTCACATATTTCCTTTGGCAACAATGAGCACAGATAATGATTTTTAACAGGAAACAGAATTAAAGAAAATCGAACTAGAAATTATGAAGTGGTATGCTGTAGGAATCCAATGCAATAAGTCAATGCACATTTATGTAGTGGTAAAGTGCTAGAAAGTCCTTTCATTAGTAATTTAAAAACAATTAGAGTAAAAAGAAGTTTACAGCTTCATTTGATGGTGTTGACCACAGGCACCATAGCAATGGCACTGGCTGAGTTGGAGTTGACTATGTCCTCATACTCCGGGGGTGGGTCTAAATGAGGTTCTGTTTCACTTCTCCGCAGGTTCATCTGGCCAGTAGCTTCCTCATAGGTAGGTGGGGGGTCACAGTTGGATAGGCGAGTGGAGACAGAATCTGAACGACCAACCACATATTCTAGAAAGCCTGGAGACAATCCACTGCTGTCAAACACTTCATCAGGTGGGGGAGGTGGAGTGATGATATTGAGGTGCTGAGGGAAAGGAATGTGGCCTTCAGTCACTGTCTGTCTACGAGTTTTGTTTCTTAGGAAGCATCTCCAGATTAAGAAAATGACAAGAAGGATAATGAAGAGACCAAAAATTAATGGAAAGGTAAGGTAAAATTGAAACCAGTCACTTCCTCTGTTACTCTCTCCTTGCTGTGCTTTCGTGTAGGTGCTCCAAAACTCCTTCTGCAAATATAAGACAAATAAAAAATCAGTATGATCAAACATAGGAAATATTAAACGCACAGATGTCTGGGTTCAATGGACACACTAAACAAACAAAAAATCAGATTTGTCAGTTCAAAAAACTGACCAACAGCTTATATTTTTTATGGCAAGAAATTTTATATGGATGATGTTCAACTTACAATAGGGTTACATCCCAATAAACCCACTCCAGAACTAGATCTCCTCTAAAATTCCATTATTACTCCAACATTTTGCGATTCTTAGAAGAACTGGGGAAAGTTATAAGAAATGTTGTTTCAGGACAATACCAAAACCCTAAAATCATAAATGACTCATTTGCTTTGCTATTATTAAAAATTAAATCACAGGTGAAAAATAATGAAGTATGAAGCTTGAAGCTTTTTAGATAAATGTGCTTTCAAAATTATTTACTATTAACTTTTGGTGTGTTTGTCAATTTTAGGATTTACAATTTTAATTATTTGTGATTATTTGAAATTTTAATTATGTAAACTAATTTTAAAAGTAAAAATGCAAGGTCAGCACTATGGCCTAGTGGGTGAAACCACCGCCTGCAGTGTTGGCATCCCATATGGGCGCCAGTTCAAGATCCAGCTGCTCCACTTCTGATCCAGCTCTCTGCTATGGCCTGGGAAAACAGCAGAAGATGGCCCAAGTCCTTGGGCTTCTGCACCCACATGGGAGACCTGGAAGAAGCTCCTGGCTCCTGGCTTTGGATGGCAGAGCTCCAGCCATTGTGGCCAATTAGGGAGTGAACCAGCGGATAGGTGACCTCTCCCCCCAACCCCTCTCTTTTTCTCTCTGCTTCTGCCTCTCTAACTCTGCCTTTCAAATAAATAAATAAATCTTTGAAAAAAAAACTAAAATTGCATTTTTATTATATAAAACCAGTAATGTAGAAACTAAAGAAAACAAAGCACTTGCAATTCCAACATAAAGATATAAGAACTATTAACCTTTTGGTTTACATCATTTAGAAAATATTTTATGGGCCTGCATAGCAGGTTAAGCTACCGCCTGCACTTCCTGTATTCCACATCAGCTCTGGTTCAAATGCTGGCTATTCCACATCGGATGGAGCTCCCTGCTAATGCACAGAAGAAAGCAGTGGAAGGTGGCCCCTGTTGCCAATGTAGGAAAACCAGATGGAGTTCTAGACTGCTTCAAAAATAAATCTTAAAAAATAGAAAATATTATATTCTTTCTACCATGCTTTTAATAACTACAGTTGCACACCTATACAAATGCACACTCCTTAAAAATCTGGAAGCAAACTGCACTAATTGTAATAAAACTGCTAATCATCCACTTGATATTTATCAAATTTCTTATCCATGGCCAATTTTATTTTATCTGTAGCTGAGAATTTACCTTCTCTATTTCTATTGTCTCAGATCACCACCTTTTCCTCCACATCATCTTACCTATGAATTTCAATTAATAATTGTGATTTTGAATAATTATGTAATGCTAACTTAGGTAAATTCAGTAAAAGAGGCTCTTTTATATTGTCCATTTTACTTTGGGATGATCAGATATTAATAATGCACACGAGGGGCTGGCATTGTGGCACAGTGGATTAAACCTGCAACTCCAGCATCCCATACAGGTGCCAGTTCCAGCCCTGGCTGCTTCACTTTGGATCCAGATGCCTGTTTAATGCACCTGGGAAAGCAGTGAAAGATGGTCCAAGTGCTGGGGCTCCTACCACCCACAGGGGAGACCAAGATGGAGTTCCAGGCTCCTGGCTTCGATCTGGCTCAGCCCTGGCTGTTGAGTCCATTTGGGGAGCAAACCAGAAGATGGAAGATCTCCCTGTTTCTCTTTCCCTCTCCCTGTGTAACTCTGCCTTTCAAATAAAATAAATATCAGGCTTTTGCATGCTTTAGTTGAATAATTTAATTTCTCTGGGTTCTTTGGTATTGTGGGAAATAAAAAATGTATAGATGAATATTCTTTTGTTTCTTTTCAGGAAAGTTTTAAAAACATAGTCATGTTTTCATTTAGAAGGTATAAACACAAAGCCCAAGCAAAAATCAGTGTTTTATTTTACATGCAGTAACTCAAATAATCCTCATTATACCAAATAATGCAGGTACTATTATCATTCCCATCTTGCAGATGAGGAAATAGAGGCCCAAAGTGGTTACATAATAATAAAAACAAACTCATTTAACACGTAAACTTTGCAGCTAGGGTTTGAACCTAAGAGGACTGCTATCAGAGCAATCCAAAAAGCAATGTAGCTTGATGTATAAGATATTTAAAACCATATGGCAATGTTCCTAGAAAATTTAGTCTTCCCAGGGCTAGTGCTATGGCACAATGGGTTAAGATATGCCTGCAGCACCAGCATCCTATATGGGTGCCTCTTGGGAGTCCTGGCTTCTCCATTTCCAATCCAACTCCCTGCTAATGTAGCTGGGAAAACAGTGAAAGATGGCGCGGGTCCTTGAGCTTCTGATACCCACATGGGAGACCCGGTAGAAGCTCCTGGTCCCTGGCGTCAGCCTAGCCCAGCCCTGGTCCTCGCAGCCGTTTGGGGAATGAACCAGCGAATACAAGATCTCTCTCACTCACTCTCTCTCTCTCTCTTTCTCTGCTACTCTGCCTTCCAAATAAATAAATCAGTGGCCGGTGCTGTGGCATAGCAGGTAAAGTTGCCGCCTGCAGTGCTGGCACCCCAAATGGGCGCTGGTTCGAGTACTGGTGCTCCACTGTGATCTAGCTCTCTGCTATGGCCTGGGAAAGCAGTAGAAGATGGCCCAAGTCCTTGGGTCCCTGCACCCACGTGGGAGACCTAGAAGAAGCTCCTGGCTCCTGGCTTTGGATCGGCACAGCTCTGGCCGTTGTGGCCAGTTGGGGAGTAAACCAGCAGATGGAAGATCTCTCCCTCTTCTCCCTCTCTCTGCCTCTCTGTAACTCTGCCTTTCAAATAAATAACTGTGGGGAGCAACTCGGACTAGACTAAGTTACTCGAATTAAGACTTATTCTATGCATCTGCTCTCCCACAATACGGCGCTGGGAGAGGAGTAAACAGCTTCTACGCAGCTGCCTCTCGCCAACTTGAGTGATGAGCTGCAGGAGCTGATCCTGCTCCTGATTGGAGGAGAGCAGCGTGCTCGGCGTGTGGGTAGCAGAGTTGGGATTGGTGGAAGAGGACTATAAAGGAGGAGAGAGACAACATGCACCAGGAACATCTAAGGGGAACATCTATCTGAAGGAACACCTGAGCAGCCCCCGAGAGCCGGCCGGCGGTGTGCTGCTCCTCCGCGGAAGTGGGGAAAGTGGCAGGGGGCACCGCCCTTCCACAGGGGTGGAAGGGTTGGTAGCCAACCCGGGAAGAACCAGCAGCAAACCCGGGGAGGGCCGAGCAGACAAAAGAACAGCGCAGGGTCCTGTGTCGTTCTTCCACGAAGAGGGGGAGCGACAAATAACTAAATCTTTTTTTAAAAAAAATCTTAAAATAATTCAGTCTTCTCAACGTGTTAAGTAAGTAGTCAAAAGTGAACTCATTTCACAGATAAAATAATTTCAATTAAGGCAATAATGTCCTGAATGAAAAGATACTGATGGACTTATTTATTTAGGAAATAGACTTATTTGTCCTCGAGGCCAGATCAGATGGAAAGTCACTTGAAATCAACATTAAGACTAATAATTGTCATCCAGATACGTAAGGTCAGTTAATGTCCCTGTAAGCTATGTACTATGTACTCCTTTATCTTGGTAAAAGCAGCCAAAAGATATTTAAGAAGAGCAAATAATTTCAGGATTTGGTTGAGCAGTACTTTAAAGGAACGAAAATTAGTAGCTGACAATTACACTGACAGTGTCACATGTTTCTTTGTGTCTAAAAAAGAACTTCTAGAGTAACTAAATAGTATTTTACATCAATATTAAATAGAATGTTGGCCGGCGCCGCGGCTCACTAGGCTAATCCTCCGCCTAGCGGCGCCGGCACACCGGGTTCTAGTCCCGGTCGGGGCGCCGGATTCTGTCCTGGTTGCCCCTCTTCCAGGCCAGCCCTCTGCTGTGGCCAGGGAGTGCAGTGGAGGATGGCCCAGGTGCTTGGGCCCTGCACCCCATGGGAGACCAGGAAAAGCACCTGGCTCCTGGCTCCTGCCATCGGATCAGCGCGGTGCGCCGGCCGCAGCGCGCCGGCCGTGGCGGCCATTGGAGGGTGAACCAACGGCAAAGGAAGACCTTTCTCTCTGTCTCTCTCTCTCACTGTCCACTCTGCCTGTCAAAAAAAATAAAAATTAAAAAAAAAATATTAAATAGAATGTAAAAGGTTTGTTTAATGAGGGAAAGAGTCATTAAAGGGAACCTACAGTCTTAAAGCAGGCTAAAATTAAACAAATAATAATCACAATCTGTAGCTGCCAGAAAGACCTGATATCCATTTCAGAGGGAAGGTCCCCACACAGTAGATACTTCACTGTGGTGGATAAGTTGCAGAACAATATTCAGTAGGTTCAGAATTCTAGCAAAGTACATTTCCCCTTTTATAAAATGTGTACTTTACTCTTGAATTTTCTCATTGCCATTTATGTATACTATGTGAGTAACTCAAGGCCTAAAGGACTCTGTTCATAATTGGGAACAGCAAAGCTGAGTATATTCTACCATCTTCAATGGATCAGCTCAGAACCTGCCTCAGAAAGTGCGGAAGTGGGTGGTTTTTCAGCGAATTGTACTGCTGAGGAGGGTGCAGCGGCATTGACATACAGTGCTCACATGGCTTCTTCTCTTGCCCGAGAGGAAAGACTGGCAGAAGAGGAACTAAAAACCGATCCTAACTCCAAAAGCTGCATTGTTGAGAGTAGAAAATAGAAAGGCCTGCAAGCTGGCAAGGTTGACCAGGAGGTTGTCCAACATTTTTAAGATTTCTTGTCAAGAGAGATTTCTAGGGAAAATGGCTGGGCATACACATGAGTCGCTTATCATCTTTTTAAAAACCTTTTTACTTACC